TCCTGGTGTCACTGGGAGGTGACAGCAAACCCTTCCAGGGCCACCAGGAGCCCGAGTACCACATGGGTGCCTTTGTGGTGGGTGAGCAGAGCATCCCCCCACCGTGTCACCGAGGGGCAGGAGCGGAGCTGTAGCACACCTAGGTGAGATAAATGCACTGGGCATGCAATTAACTCCGAAATACTTCAGCAAATTAAGCACTGTGACATTTTAATGATCCAGGCACAGGAGTTTGGTTCCAAGCCTGCTCCTTTGCTCTGTTTTCCCTCCAGCCCCGGTGCTGCCCAGCTGGGTCTGTGCTACCTGGGATCAGGCTGTGGGACTTGGTTGGTGTGTGCTGGCAGGACCGGGATCCCCGTGTGGATCCCACACCCCGGTGGTGATCAGCAGTAACCGAAATCACTGCCCCCGTGAGCTGCTGGCAGCTCCCACGGGCTGGAGGGGTGTTAGGTCCAGGCTGCACACCGGGCTGTTTTCCATTCCTGTTGTAGGGAGGCAGAGGAATTAGGGTTTACAAGCCTAATACCCCCGCTGTGAAATCTGCCTCAGGGTGGAAAGATTCAGTTGTAAGTTTAGATCTTCAGAGGGAAGGAAAAAAAAAACCCAAATGACGCTTTCCACGGCGCCCATTGAAACGCCTCTCTTCCCTGTCATCCTGGAGCAGCATTTCGTTATCCTAGTGATAAATCAGGTTGTCTCAGCATCAGTTTTTCTGGCCACGGCCAGTGATTCATGTCAGCAAAGCAGTTCTGGTGTCAGCAGCGATGAGCAATGCTGATGTTCCCAAACACGAGGGTCCTTGGAAGCCACCCCCATGGGACCCCCGAGCCCCTGCTGGCCCCAGCCCCGAGTGGTCCCATGGCCGGGGGTGGCATCTTGTGTGCCAGCTTCTGGCAGAGCAGGGCAGGAGGACAGTCATGGACCAGAGCTGCTGCTGGCACCTACTCGGTGCAGACTCAGCCTTTGCAGACCAGAGTTCACTCGGTCACTGTTTGAAATCTAATTATCACTAATACTATTAATATTGCTCTGATGTAAATAGAGGAGAAATAGAGGAGCCGGTATGGATTGGCCTCTGCTGCTTGAGAAAATTGTTTATTTAAAATCACAAATGCTGAGAAATGAGACCCCTTAGAACAGGTTCTTTCAGAACGAGCCCCATCACGGCAGGTGCGTGTCCAGTGGTGGCACTGGAGAGGACAGAGCCCAGTGTTGGGGTTCACAGGAGCTTTCTGAGGGTCTCCTGAGAGCAGCTGCTGATGAGCGTGGGGTCACCCATCCACAGGAGGCACTAGTGGTGTTGGAAATGACAATTAAAATCTCTCTCATGCGGTGTTTAGAGCTATTTTGGGGATCCTGGGGAAGTTCTGTGTCTCAGAGCGAGGTGCCGTTGGCCGGAGAGCAGTGACCCAGCAGCCGTGGTGGCAGCAGTTCAATCTAAACCTCCCCTGTTGGAGCTTGAAGCCATTCCCTCTCGTTCTGTCACTAATTACCTGTGAGAAGAGCCCAGCACCAACCTCTCTACAGTGTCCTTTCAAGTAGTTGTAGAGAGTGATGAGGTCTCCCCTCAGCCTCCTCTTCCTCATACTAAACAGTCCCAGGGTTTCTCCCAGGAATACACAGCCATGCCCAGTTCCCCGGGAGCATGGTGAGGTGGTTTTAAAGGTGCTTGTGTTTGGCTTTTTTAATGGCAGTTCCCCTTTCCAGTGTCCCCCCCTCTGCCCCTTGTCTGTCAGTGAGAGCAACAAACCCCAGTTTTTAGATCAGGAGCGAGCGATGAGAAATGGGTGCAGGGAGGGGTGGCCGAGGAGCTGGTGGGGGGATGCTCTCCCATGGGGAGGACCTGGGGGGGAAGATGCTGTTCAGTGGGTGCAGGGAGGGCTCACACTGAACACCACAGGACCTGCTGCTGCTCCTGACTTGCCCAGCGCAGCATTTATCATGGTAATTATGGAATGCATTTCCGCACAAGCGCTTGTCCTTGAAGGGGACATTTCTTGCTGCTGATACCGGGTTTGTTTGTGCGGGCAGAGACATGACAGATGACTCCGGGAGGGAAGCAACCCTCCTGGAGACGCCTGGGAAGCCGAAGGCATTGCCTCGATGATGGTCTTGCAGTGCCTTCCTTCTGCTTCCTGCTTATTTCTGTGCGTCTTCATTTTGCGTCTGATTTCTGTCTGCGGGAGCGGTTTGTGCTCCCAGGTCACTCATGTCAGCAGCACAAATCTGATCTTTGGGGCTTTGGACTTTGTTGAGATACCCCTTGAGTCAATGCTTCCCGTGAGGGAGGCTCCCTCAAACCCATCAATAAAAGATTTATTATTAACAGCGGTTGTCTGGGCTGCAGCAGCCCGGCAGGGTCCCCGGCAGGGACCTGTCACACCAACCACCACCATCCCACGTACCAAACCCAGGGGCTGTGCCCAGTGTGGGGCAGAGCTGGAGCAGCTGGGAGGAGAAACAAGTGGGTACTGGGAAGGTGCTGGGATACAGGAGTGTCAGAGCCACGATCACGGTTTGCACGTCGCATCCTCCAGGGCCGTGTCCACTGGTTTTTTCCATGAGAAGGGAAAACCTGACAGAAGTCAGTGCGGTCGGTTAAATGCAAAGAAAGGTCTTTGTGTCTATCAGGCATCTATCTGTCATGGATCTGGCTGTCGTTAGACCTGCCGGGCATGTCACAGGCAGTGTATGGAAACAACTGTCTTATTTTGAGGATGAAGGTGATTCTCTACTTGATTATACAAGAGACACTTTGGGATCCTTTGGAAATGAGGGCGAGGGAGCAGTGTAACTCACCATACTGGTTTGATGCCTCACCAGAGGGGCAGCATCCCATTTCCACAGTTCTGTTCTTGCCCTTGACTGAGGTTGCTGGGGCTGCAGGAGTGTACTGGTGACAAACTGGGACCTGTGTGACAGGCAGAGAGCAGAGGGGTGATGCTTTGCTGTCAGCTGAGCTCAGACTCCGTGAAGGGCATAGGATGCAACACCTCCCTGGACCACAGCACCTACTCCCTTTTCTCTTAAGCTGGGAGAACTGAAGAGCAGTCCCCCTGCAGAAAGCAGTGCCAGCAGCCCAGGAAACAAGCCCTGGGCTCTGCAGGAGGGGCTGGGGGGGGTGGTTTTACCAAGGAGTCAACAGCTCAGAAAGGATGAAGTTTCTTGAAGAAGCTGCCCGTGAAAGAGCAGCCTCATTTGTGTGTGCAGCTGGATGTGAACGGGGGAAGCTGGAGGTGCAGGTGTGTAATTGGCTGGAGGAGCCAGTGTTTGCAGATGTAAATTTGCTGGCTGAGTAACTATTCGTTCTCTAAAACTGGGTCTTCATCGGGACTTTAGGTCAAGAGGTTTTACAATGAAGCATTGAGAGCTGCTTCCTCTAAACTCCGTTTTGAAGACTAACAATAGGAGTCATTGTGGCTGACACAGCAGAGAGCTGGTACAGCTTATGCAAATACATTGCAAATGTGGCCCCCATCACTGAATGCACAAATTAGACCTAAAATTAGCAAATTAGGCGCTTACTTTCTACTTACATACATCCAAGCATACCCTACAGTCATTAATCCGGGAAAATCCTCATTGAAGCTGCATCGCTGGCCATTCACACCCAGCAACGCTCTGCAAAAGAGCAAAATTAGGAGATTAATGCTCCCCCCTCTTCTGTCCCCAAAACTTCTCCCAGCAGAAATGTCAAAAGAACAGGCACAATTATTCAGCAGACACTTGCTCCTCCAGCAGCTGTACGTTCAGTTATTAATGCCGCATCCCAGGCGCACACCTATGTATGGCCAACAGACTAGTGTAGCTTGAAATCAAAATTAATTAAACCTTGTTTACCATTTGGAATTAGCGAGCTAATGAATATCATACCTCTGAGGCATCCATCTTGGTCAAATCCTTTGTGCCTCACAGCTGTTGTTTTTGTCTAGATTAGGTTTGCTCCAGTTTTTTATGAAGATGCCTACAAAGTAATAAGTCCTGCACTTATTTGACTCAAAAAAAAAATTATAAAATTTTTATTAACTTCCAAGGAATTGGGTTTTCTACATTTTGCCTGGCAATAAAGGTTGATTTGTTCTGTATCTGCCTGATCAAGTACTTGGGTGCTGGCTATTACTTAAATCTAATGACTCTTCTTAAAAGGCATTAAGGTTGTCTCCTGTGAGCAAACACACTGGGTTTGTGAAATTGGGTACTGATTACTCCGCTATCAATGTGGTCACATTTTACCTGTATAAACAATTCCAACACACGGACGTACTGCTGTAGTTATTTATACCCACTTTATTAAGGTTATTTTTTCGGCAGTCGCACTGCTTTTAAATCTGCCATGGCTTATTTAGTGCCGAGTGACAGAAAATTCAGTATGTCACACGGAAGCATCACTTTTACCCCTTTATCTCTGTCCCCCCCCCCGGCTTTATTTAGTGCCACGGGTGATGACAGAGCGCCAGACGACAGGAGATAGCAGTCTGTCTTCCCAGAGAGCTTTCAGGCTCTGCTTTTTTCCAGGGCACGTTTTCCTGCCCAGCCTGCATCCCTGGGTGGGCAGTGGGGCACGGAGCCCTCTCCCGTGGGAAGGGGCTGCCTGGGGGAGGCAGGGCAGCCCCAAATCCCACCCCACGGGGAGAAAAACCTCCCCACATCCAAAACCCCCCTTGTTTCCCCAAAGCAGCCTCTTCCCCCGAGGAGCCGTGAGGTGGAAATCACAAGCTCTAATCCTGCCAAAGCATCCCGGGCAGAGTAATGTGGATTAAAGTGGGCTCCCTTTATTGACACGTTGCCTGCCAGAGTGAGGATATTTATATTTTTTAAATGAGCATCCACTTCAAGCAAGTTCAGATGAGTAATGCCGCTGTCAGCCCCGCAGAGGGGCAGTGTCTTGTGTAGAGATTAAGCTCTTAAATAAGTGGTCCCTCAGCAGATAAAGCCCAGACCCAAGTCCTGATTGCAAACTCCGTGTTGCTTAGCACTTGTTGCCACGCTACGGGAGAGCCCGGCGTCAGGGCTGCCATCCTGCTGTGCCAGCAGCTCCTGAAGGAAAACTGCCCGGATTTGGACAAAATGGGCTGGTGGGAAGATTGCAAAGGCAGCCAAAGCGAGAGGTGAGGGGAGAAATTCCCTGTGGGTGCTTCCCAGCCCCGGAGGGACCCCCTGCAGCACTGACAATATTCGGGGATGGGTTATTTCTAATCCTGCTCACAGGGTGGGGGGTGCAGTGTGAACCCCAAGAGGGGCTGATTTTGGGGCTCCCTTCTCCCTGCCCAGCCTCCTGTGACCCCCCGTGGGCACCACGGGATGCTGAGCCAGAGGAAAATACCATGACCTAGAGGCATTTAGGGCACCACGGGATGCTGAGCCAGAGGAAAACACCATGACCCAGAGGGATTTACTTCTAATATTTAGGAGCATCAGGGCACCAATAGGATGAAACACTGTCAGTTCGCTGTTTGCTTTGTAAGTTTCCACTGCGGAGAGGCTGTTTATACTTGATTTATTCTAGCATCAGGGCACCAATAGGATGAAACACTGTGAGTTCACTGTTTGCTTTGTAAGTTTCCACTGCTGAGAGGCTGTTTATACTTGATTTATTCTTTGTGGATGTTTATGGTGACAGAAGGGCATTCCCGCTGGCAGCCTGCCCCACGGGAACTGGGGATCCCAGCCCAAGAGCAGCCCCGAGCAGGAATGTGGCTCCGTGGGTTGCTCCTTCTGCTGGAAGTAATGGGGTGGCATCAGCTCAAGGGCAGAGCGGGACCCAAAGGCTGTGAAACTTCATTTAAGCTTCTTACCAGGACACATTAAGTTCCCGTTGAGCCAACTCTGTACTTGCTTTTTCCACCAAACGCCTTGATTTTGGTGCTGCAGGAGACACGAGGATGGCCCCAGAGCAGGGGAGGAGGGATGTGTCGGGGATGTGTTTAACCGTGGCTGTGACCTTGCTTCTGCTTGTCTTTTCCTTCGAGCTCCCCAATAAATCAGACACTTATCTCTGCTTATTGCTTATTTATGACTTCATTTAACCCGCAGTGCTGGC